CGAAGCTTCCCTGGCGTATACTCCAAGTCTTCTGGATTTCTTCCGTTCCAAAAATAACTCTCCCAAAGGTCTCATTCTGTTTGGACTCCGTTTGATATTCCTTTTCTTCGAAACACTGAAATAGGCAAGAAAACAACAATTTGGGCTGGGCCTCCGGTTAATAGGTTAGTCCCAAAAATAATATAAACATGTATAATAAAGCCCATAAACATCCAAAACAGATAATATAATAGCATGGAACAATCAAAAATTATAGATACGTTGGAGACGTATCACACAACTCAAGAGAGACGCTAGCACGATTGCTCTATAGGCGGATACGACACTTGTGCACGACCTATAAGATGCAAAGATATATCAACTTTCTATCCCAAGTATGGTATGTATGTATGGTTCCCGGTGTTTCTCAAGATGATCCAAGATGATCGGATATGACAATCTTATGCAATGTGGTATGATGCTATGGCTCTTGCTTACAAGCTTCTTTGCTCTTTCTCTCTTTTGCTTAAAAGCTTATTCTTTTTTTGTATGGCCACGATGCACAAACCAAGATAGCAATTGTGTATATACGGGAACAATCTTGTGACACAAGAGATGATATGATGATACCAAGATGATATGGTATATATGCAATGGGAGGTACGGATCACTAATGTGCACAAGTAACGTTGCCGGCAATACTCAAATGGCTAGTATCGATAGGCAAGTGACGCAAAATGGGCTAGGGGTTAACAATGCAATTGCAAGGGGAATATACAATGATGTCGTCGAGGTTACCGTCCTTGGCGATGATGAGTGGTGGTGTTCTTGATGTAGAACCGTCCTTAATTAGCCGAAACACCTTAGGAAACGGAAAAACCGCAAACTTAAAATCTCCAAAGGCAAATGTCAAATTATGGTAGTGGAATGCGGTGGTGGTTGCGGAAGTATCGGTGGGGACCCGGTCAAAATGGGGTTAGGTGGTGGAAGGGTATGATGGGCTATACACAGTGTCGGAGTTGAAAGCACGGTCCCTAAGTAGCCGAAACACCTTAGGAGACACAACTCACAACACAAACAAAATTGGGTTAAGTTGGAGTGGCGGAAGTGTATGGTGGGCAAGGTTATGTGGAAGTGGTGATGGTGGTTGGTGAAGAAGCAACCGTCCCTAAGTAGCCAAAACACCTTAGGAGACTTAAGTCACAACTCAAACAACCACATATGCAATGGGGATCAAAATGGGTTAGGTTGTGGAAGTCGGTGGTGGTAATGCGGATGATATGGTAGTGGCCTTAGGCAATGTCGGTGTACAAAAGTAGGGGCTCTCCTTTTAACCCATTTACTTGTGCACGAGTAGTCAGAGCCGCGCCCGCGGCCACACTTAACAAGGCAGAGGAGGGAAGCCGGAGGGAAACCGAAGCATAAGACGACCAAAGCAACGCCAAGACCCAAGGCGCAAAGAGAGCAAGAGGGCGAGGTGGACTCCCCCGGCAAGACCCTTGCCGGGGTGGCTTCCGCAGCCTCGGCAAGATCTTTGCTGGGGCAACTTGCCTAACGCCAGCAGAGCGTGCCACCCTTGAGCCCAAGGGATTCCAACACCATGTTGGAACCAAGGCTTGGGGGCCACCTCTATGGCGGCATGCAGATCTTTGTAGAGATCTTAGATATGCAAGATCATATGAGGACCAAAAGACGACGACCCCCGGCAAGGTCCTTGCCGGGGACGACCGCGGTGCCGCAGCGAGACCCTTGCCGGGCCCTCGACAAGGCCCTTGCCGAGGACGCCTGCGGGGCCGCAGCCAGGCCCGTGTCCGCCAAAGGTTCCACCACCGCTCCCATACAGCTGCCATCTCGACCAGCTAAGCAGACGCCTGCATGGCAGCGCGCGGCCTCTACACCGACTCAGCAAGCACCTGCGTGGTGGCATGCAGATCTTCTGAAGGCTTCACCACCGCGCCAGCCCAACAGCCAGCCAACGTGGCGCCACGATGCCTCGTCAGCCCGGACGCGTGTCGAAGCCAGGCATGGCGGCGACAGCTGGGACGTGCTTCACTGGCGTCCCCGATAAAGTGAGAGGGGCACGTTGGCAGCGCATTAAATGCGTTTGTCCGATGGGGCCAGAGGATAGACTCACCTACTGTAGACCTTTCCACCTCCTGTGTGCCACTGTAGCAACCCCTTTTCGCCTATAAAAGGAGGCCCGAGGCGTCCATGAGAGGGATTCAGATCTTTTGGCCAAAGTTGCACCTCGTAGCTAGCTCAAGAACACAAGAACACTCAAATACATCCACCAAAGCAGGACTAGGGTATTACACATCTTTGCGTCCCGAACCTGGGTAAACGATCTGTGTGCTTCCTGTCAGACCCGCTCTTTGCACAACCCCGCGCCCGCCAACCATAGAAGGGATCCCAGTGACCCTATAGGTGTCGATTTCCCCCGACAGGCAAAGATGCCAAAGTTCCAAAAATTTGATGGAGTCAAATAGTGATGGTAGTATTTTTGTAGGAAGGGGGATGTCAAGAGCTTCGAAACGAGCTAAATCAAAAACGGACTCTAGATGAATTAGTTATGTCCAAAATAAAATTTCAGCACAGTCAGTTTCAGGGTTAACCGGACATCTGGGAGTAGGTCCGGATGATCCGGGTTCGTCAACCGGATTTCTGCCGTTTGTGGTGCCAGGACATCCGGGAGATGGTCCAGCTAATCTGGGTGGATCCGGATGATCCGGGAGTACTTCCGGATGATCCGGGCAGGTTAAACTGCTCGGGATTTCCTCTCAGGGACGAATTTTTGGGCGAAAAATGGATGATTTCGGGGGTGAAATTGAGGAGATTTCATGGATGGAAGGTGGGGAAACTTGTGGAGATGCTAGATCCACTTGAAATCAAGCAAAATCATGGATCAAAATCAACAAAACTTCATCAAACCAACAAATCACAAAAAAATTGGGGCTATTTTGTGGGGATTTTCGAATTTAGAATGAAATCAAGCAAAACAAGGCTAGAAAACGGCGGGGGGACTCCAAATTCATGATAAACATGGCTCTGATACCAAGATGATGTAGGGTAGAACCCTAGAGGACCGATCTTTCACGAAATGGAGGGAATCACACGAATAACACGAAGAACACGAGGGGAAAGAGAGGAATCACTCAAATCAACAAGAAACAATCACACATGTGCTAGATCCTCGAAACACAAAGAGATACACGATCCAAATCCAACAAAGAAAGATACATAGGTAACCGGTTCTTCTCCGTGAGAAGGTCTTGATGGGGGTCACCCGTGAGGGGGTCTTGAATCCAAGATGGATCTTCTCCGTAGAGGCGCGCGGTCTCTCTCATGGAGTAGATCCGTATGGATGAGCAAAGCTCTATCTCTAATGAGCTACTACCTTGCTAACCCTCACTAGAAGGAGGAGGGGGTCTATATATAGTGCTAAGCCACGAAGGGGTAAGTGAGGGGCGAAGGGGTACACGGGCTTCGGCCCAAGTCACGCGCGTAGGTAGGGTCTGGATGATCTGGGTAACGTCAGGATGATCTGGGGCCTCGTCCGAATGATCTGGCTCCGTCGAGGGGATTTCTACAAGGTTCGGGTGTCTTCGGACACAATTGTCCGGATGATCTGGGGGTGGGTCCGGATGATCCGGCTGAGCCCGGATGATCCGAACGGCGGTCCGGATGTCTGGCCTGGCTCCAGCGGCCGCTCCGTCTTCTTCTTCTCCTCCTTTCTTCCGTCTTCTCTTCCATGCTTGGCCTTGGTCCTTTTAATCTCCATGGTCATCTCGTATGAGCCTGAGTATACACAAGGTCCATGCATAAGGTAGTAGCCATGTCTTATATGTGGAAAGTGACGGATCGAAGAGGAGTGAGTTCACCTTGTGTCCAATGGCGTATGGTCGAGGTCTTATCGTATGTCCTCTTGGGGCTTGGGGAGTAGTCGAAGTGTACATGGGGATGATCGTAGGATGCTCCGCATCAGCATCTTTCAAGTTTCCTAATCCCACCTTGCTCTTTTACAATGATTCTCACCAAAAAATATATGAGCGGCCCAAGCAATAAAAGAAATATGAACGGCCCAAGCAATCAACCAATAGATGGCTAAAACAAAAGAGAGCAGTCCTCATGGTTAGGGCGAGCTAACTAAAAGCGAATGAGCTAATTAAAGAAAGGATTGTGAGCCTAAATACATTATTTAAACGGATGCGGCTAATTAAAGAAAGGATTATGATAAACCAATGAAATAATTAAAAGAAAGTTTGTGGACTTGATAAATAGAATATTCAAATAGATGGACCTAATTAAAGGAAGAATTTGAGATATAAAGGTAGAATTAATGGAAGAAAATATACTTAAATAGATGATAATTAATGAAAGGATTATACTTAAATGGAATTAGTAGGAGATCACGCCCGGCAAAGAAAATATGAATGTGGATAAATTGCATTTTTTATGTTCATTTTATGAAAGGATGTTGCATTGTAATATGATTTTTATAGCGAATGCGGTGCTATGAGACATTATATTTGTACAGAACATCAATTTTTCCTGTTCCAACGCACGATCATATGTGCTAGTAGTCTATATAAGTTTCTTCATGCAGCCGCCACGCTCGGCCATCCATCTATCCGCTGGCACGAGTGGACCTCCGGCTCACCTCCACCTGCAACTTCGTGGTCAGCCACGTCGTGGCCGGTCCGGCTCACTGCCGGTGAAGCCTAGTCGTTGTCTTGACCTCGGGCGCTAGGTGAAATGCACTAAGAATAGCAAATCCGGAAAAGTAGTCGGTGTACAAGTACGAGCACTAATGTAAAGTTTAGGACTTAAAATCTGGTTGGTTGGTTTCATCACAAAGAATCTTAACCATCTTGGTGTAACATTACACACGTTGCTGCACTGATCCGCACCATATAATCCATTCACAACAAATAAATCAATCGCATGCGCTTGGATGAAAATTAGAGTTGCCCATATTTACACCATCCCATCTGAATCTCAGAGTTCACAGCTAATGCCTGGCGCTACCAATAGTTCCCGCAGCTGCAGGTGCCACGCCGGAACCGGTGGAAACGCTTCCGGTCCCTGACCACGACCTCCCTCCCGAAGATCTCCGATATCAGCGCGCTGTAGGCGTGGCACTCCTTGCTCATCCGGAGGTTGGTGACGACCCTCACCGGAGTGCCTTCCGGCGTGCTGAGCAGCCCGAACGCCATGGCCAGCTTCTGGCTGTGGGCGGCGACGGCGCTCCGCTTCTCCTCGTCGTCCGCGTCCAGCGCCACCTCCGACGTGTCTGGCTTGTAGCCCTCGAACCGGAGCTGCCACTCCATCTGGTGGAGCATCTCGTAGATGTCGGCCGTCCGGGGGTGCGACCGGTCCTGCGACGTGAACCGGTGCATCTCGCCGTGCACCTCCACGGCGCTGAACCCCGGCGCCTGCGCTAGGCCCCTTTCCACCGCCTCCGTCCGGAGCGCGGCCGCCTCGTCCCAGTTCGCGGCCCTGGCGTGCATGTCCGCGAGGATTATGTAGTCGCCGGCGTTGACGGCGCCGCCGAGGCGCGCCAGCTCCCGCAGCGCGCGCTCGGCGAGCTCGATGTCGCCGTGGATCCGGCAGGCGTTGAGCAGGCTCCGCCAGGCCGTGTCCGTGGGACCCGTGGGCATGCTCCCGATGAGCGCGCGCGCCTCGTCCAGCCTCCCGGCGCGGGCCATGAGGTCCACCATGCAGCCGTAGTGCTGCGCGTTGGGAGCCACCTTGCGCTCGAGCCGCATCCGATCGAAGCACCGGAGGCCTTCCTCGAGCAGCCCCGAGCGGCTGCACGCGTTGAGCACGCCGACGTACACGGCCTCGTCGGGCTGGTGTCCCTCCCTGATCATCGCGTCGAACACCTGCAGCGCCTTACGCCCGTCCCCGTGCAACGCCAAGCCGGACACCATGGCGCTGTACGTCCACTCGTTCTTCTTGCCGTCCATGCCGTCGAACACCGCCGTCGCCTTCTCGATGCAGCCGCACTTGGCGTACATGTCCACCAGGGACGTCTCCATGAACGTGTTCAGCGTCACGGTATTCCTGAGCAGCGCGCAGTGGACGCTCCGGCCGACGTCGTAGGCGCCCAGGTGCGCGCACGCCGAGAGCGCGCTCACCATGGAGCTCTCGTCGGGCCTCCACCCGTCGCGCGCCATCGCGGCGAATGAGTCGAGGCAATCAGCCCACCACCCGGCCTTGGTGTACGCCGCGAGCAGCGCGCTCCAGGACGCCGCCGTCCTCTCCCCGGCCTCCATCTGCTCGAACGCCCGGCGCGCCAGCTCCGGCTCGCCGCACTTGCCGTAGAAGCTGATGAGGCTGTTCTGCGCGTGGTCGTCGTGCCCGAGGAACCCGAACTTCACGGCGTGTCCCTGCAGCTGCCTCCCTTGCCGCAATGCCGCGAGCTGCGCGCACGCCTTGAGGACGAACGGGAACGTGTAGCCGTCGGGCTCGACGCCGTCGTTCAGCATGTCGACGTACAGCCGCAGAGCGGCCGCGGGGTCGCGGCCACCGACGACGTGGCCGCGCATCAGTGTGTTGTAGTCGAACGCCTCCGGCTCGTCGAGCGTGGAGAAGATGGCCGCCGCGTACTCCATGCTGCCCGGCCACTCCCCGAGCGCGCACGCCGCGAGGAGCGGCCGCAGGTGCGGCGGGGAGCGGTCGAGGCCGAGCTTGAAGTTCCTCGCGTGCGCCTTCCTGACCTCGTCCAGGCCCCGCACGGGCCGCGCCGAGACCGTGGCGCAGCATGGCGCCTGCTCCAGCGCCTGCGTTGTCGTCGCCGGCGCCGGGGCGGAGGTTCTTGGCGTGGCGGCCTGGTGCTGCGGCTGGGGGAGCACTAGACCTCCCACCATGGCACTACCATCGGCGTGCGGAACAACAGGGGCGATGAGAGTGAGACCGTACCATCGTCGAACTGCGAACGAGTGGCTAACATGGAGCTCGGCCGTCCACACGAATTGGTTACCGCGAGGAGTGAAAATCCCACGTCCCTCTCCTAGCTTCCTCGTTGTTCACTCGATGCGGAGATGGAACTGCGCGGGGTGGAAGGATTTCGTGGCTGGGAAGCGGTGCTGGGATTTTCATGGGCTGTGGAATGTCATCCAGGGGTATGGAGCGGACAAATGGCAGATGGGCGGAATGGATGCTGTCACGGCGTCATTAGGCTGAGGATAAGGTCCATTGCCCGGCCAACTGGGCAAGCAGCGACACTGCCACAGGATGGCAGCCGGGGCCATACTCCGAAGGTCTAATTAATCGCTCGTGTTACTTACAACAACTCCAACGGACCAACCCAAAAGAATGGTGGTTTTGTCCATTTTTTTGTCTATTTGAGTCGGCCGCCCGGTCACCGTCCGCCATCCGTCCTCTTTTAATTTTGGGTCGGCAGTGTGCCCAACGGGCCGATCCATTTCATGACCGCGCGCGTTGCCGTCGCCCTGGTTTTGGCGCACCAGTGCGCGGGAAAGGTTCACGTGCGCGGGGAAAAGCGGCCTAGCGTGCGCTGGTTTTGGCGCTCCAGCGCGCGGGAAAGGTTCGCGTGCGCGTCGCGGCCGGTGCTCGTTGTAAAGAAGGCGCTCCCTCCACACTCTGTCCGCCGCCCACTCTCGCCGCCTCTGCGCCACCATATCGATCCGCCGCCTGGGCGCTTCGGATTTTCGCGGAGTCCGCGAGCGCCGCTCCGGCGCCTTCTACTCCGAGATCTGGTTTCGCGAGAAACGTCTCACTCTCGGCACCTTCAACACCGCAGAGGAGGCGGCCCGCGCGCACGACGCGGCGGCGTGGCGCCTCCTGAGGCCTCGTCGGGATATGAATTTTCCCAACCTGTCGAGCCAGCGGGCGCAGGATCTGGCGCCTCTCCCGCGGCTTTTCACCGACAAGGATCGTCGTGTCCACCGGAGGCGGCAACGTCGCCTCGCCATCGCGGAGAAGGACGTGGAAGCCTTGGTGGTGTGGCGCGGAGGCTTCCCGCAGGACATCGTCGACGAGCGCCAGTTCTACAAGCAAAGGAGATTGGAGAGGGGCGCGAGGATGAGGGGGCGAGCCGCCTATCGGGAGGACAAGTGTTCGCGGAAGCAGGCAACTCAATTGAAACTGAAGCCACGAGAAACGGCGGGTTGAGACTTTGAAGACGAGGCGTATGCTGACGCCTACATTCAGACGTCGGAGGAGGACATTACCGAGTCGGAGTCAGAAAGCGACGAGTAGTGGTCTTTTCTTTTATCTGTGTACGCTAGAACTATCTATGTATCTATTTTTATCTGAAAAAATGGCCGACGGCGTCGGCGACGTAGCAGGCGGGCGAGGGTGTGAATCCAATGTGCCACCGACTAGCGGGCTTGGTAAGGAAAGAGGGAAAACGCGCACGTCCGTCTTGTGTCCATGCCGACGCAAATCAGTCTAAGAAATGGACCGAAAATGGGTCGGCAGGCGAACGAAAACGGACACACGTCCGTTTTAGTCGGCGCGTTGGACCGGCTTTTTTGTCTGCGCCGACTCAAACGAACGACCGCAGATGAAATGAGTCGCCCTATTAGATTGCTCTTAAGACTTGGATCTGCCCTAGAAATAGATTTAGGATCGGATCTTTCATGGCTATCTCAGTTTTTCAGTATGTGTCATTGATAGCAATTTTTGGTAGCTTATCAAGTAGGCCGCTTGGTCTTTAGAGCATCTTAAATAGTAGAAGATGCAAATTTGAAGGTGTAAAATAGGAAATCCAAAAAATACTTTTTTCATCTTCAAAATAGTACCAACTCTAACAAAAAATGCAAAACGAAGATGTAAAAGAGCAACTTCAATAAAAGACGCAAAGTAGATATACAAAACCGGCTGCCGGCCGCATGGCCTTGTTCAGCCGCACAAATCCGACAATCGACTTAAAAATTGCACATGTTCATAATATCAAATTATTACAATGTTCATCAAATTCACAAGATCAAATGCAACAAGCATATAACATAATTTTGCACAATACAACAAACAAATAAATGAAACTAAGTGCCTCTTTCACGATGATATTTTCGATACTCCTCTAACAAATCCTTCTGAAGTTGATCTTGTGCATCAGTCTCTAATTTCATTATAGACCTTCATGAAGCGTTTGATTCGCTCCTATCTTCTCATAGGCATAACGGTATGCCTATCAAGTGATAGAAGGTGTAATCTAAACCCTGTCCACGCTTATTCTCAATGATCATGTTCTCATTCTCAATGTTCATGTTATGCATGATCATGCAAGCAGTAATGATATACAAGAGTTTTTTATCCCAGAATCTAGATGATCCACGCACAATAGCAAATTGGGATTACAAAATCCCAAAAGCCCTCTTAACATCTTTCCTAGCCGCCGCTTGTGCATTGTGAAAGATGAGTTCTTTCTTATCTTAGGGTTTTACAATTGGCTTGACAAAAGTACTCCACCTCGGGTAGATGCCATCCGCAAGATACTACTCGTAGTTATATGTGCGGCCATTTGCTTCGAAGGTTAGCGGTGGTGCTTCTCCGTTTGCTAACTTGGAAAAAAGAGGTGACCGGTCGAGCACGTTGATGTCATTGCAACATTTAGACATCCCAAAATATGAATGCCAAAACCATGTTTCTTGATCGGCAACGGCCTCAAGAATGATAGTAACATCCTTCCCGCGACCCTTAAACTGTCCATGCCATGCTCTTGGGCAATTTTTTCACTTCCAATGCATGCAATCGACGGACCCTAGTATACCTGGAAACCCACGGGCTTTGTTCATCTCCAACAGTCTCTGAGTTCCTGAGCATTCGGAGCTCTCAAGTACTCTGCACCAAACACTTCTACCATAGCCTTTGCAAATTGTTTGACATAGAAGGTAGAAGTGCTTGATACGTCTCCGTCGTATCTATAATTTTTGATTGTTCCATGCCAATATTCTACAATTTTCATATATTTTTGGCAACTTTTTATACTATTTTTGGGACTAACATATTGATCCAGTGCCCACTGCCAGTTCCTGTTTGTTGCATGTTTTTTGTTTCGCAGTAAATCCATATCAAACGGAGTCCAAATGAGATAAAAACTGATGGAGATTTTTTTTGGAATATATGTGATTTTTGGGGAGAAAAACCAACGCGAGACGATGCCCGTGGGGGCCACGAGGCAGGGGGGCGCGCCCTGGGCCCTCGTGGCCACCCTGTAAGGAGGTTGATGCCCTTCTTTCGCCGCAAGAAAGCTAATATCCGGATAGAGATCGTGTTAAAATTTCAGCCCAATCGGAGTTACAGATCTCCGGGAATATAAGAAACGGTGAAAGGGCGGAATCTCAGAACGCAGAAACAAAGAGAGACAGAGAGACATATCCAATCTCGGAGGGGCTCTCGCCCCTCCCATGCCATGGACCAGAGGGGAAACCCTTCTCCCATCTAGGGAGAAGGTCAAGGAAGAACAAGAAGGAGGGAGGGTCTCTCCCCCTCGCTTCTGGTGGCGCCTGTCGTGGTTCTATGTCTGACAGTAGAATGGGGGTAGGGATGTAGAGGCAAGATCCTAGCTATGGAGGAGTTGTACACGCGAGTTTTATGAGTTCAGGCCCTTCTCGGAGGAAGTAATAGCCCTACGTCTCGGAGCCCTGAGGTGGTCGACTGGATTATATGCGTGTGTGTTACAGGGGGTGTGGACCCTTGTGCCTGTGGAGGGGGGTGGCTTATATAGAGTGTGCCAGGACCCCAGCCAGCCCACGTCACAGAGGGTTTAAGGTACATTGAAGAGAGAACGTTACTGGTAACGCCCACACTAAAGTGCTATAAATGACAATTAAGCCTATAAGTAAATGCCCGACCGTTGTTCATGCAGAGTGGCTTTAGCTCTTCTGCCCGTCGAGTGACTTCTGCGACGGTCGAGTGACATTGATTCTTCTGAGTGGAACGTCTCTGGCCGAGTGGATGATGGTACCCTTTGAATGATCCTGGCTTTAGGGTGATGTACTATAGGAGGATGTCTAGGTCAGGTCTATGACCCTACCCTAGGTACATAGCTTCATCATTAGCCCCTGAATGGTTCAGGGTTCGAGTGGAGAAGGAGTTGATAATCCCTCTGATTCAGCTTTTGTGCTTCGAGAATGTCTTGCCCAGAGGTCAAATGAACATATCATGGCTTCAACTGCTTGTTCAATCGCCTTGATCCATTCTTGGTTTTGTCGAGTGAACTTTCCTTGTTAAGTTTCGAGTGTTGATATGGAAAAAATCTTCCGTCTGACGGGTTGTTCTGCCGTCTGCGGATTTCACGGGATTCGAATTTTGGGAAGCGCGCCGGGCGGGGAGGCCGCAGTAATCGGGACGGATTAGGCAGGCCGCCTCAATCTCCGTGCCACCTTTTTTCGCCACGTATCACGCGCGCGACTGTTGCGGGATTTGATAAGATCGTCCGGGCCTACAAGTCAGTCACTCGGAAGTGACCTTATATAAGGCGCCGGACCGGGGCTTTTGAACAGTGCGCCCCCATTCTTCTTCCTCCTCCTTAGATTTCTCTGCTGCGCCTGCTTCCGCTCTCGGCGTCGTCGCCCTGCTTGAACTCGGTTCGCTGCCATGGGGAAGGAGAAGACGGTGGCGTTGGGGCGTGCGAAGAAGGCGACGGCGAAGGAGAAAGGGAAGAGGACCAGCCGGGACGGATCTTCGTTGAGGTCCGGCCTGCCGCCTGGCTGGATCCAGGGCGTCTGGATCTGCTCGACAATCAGTCAAGATGACATCGATGACCTGGTTGAGGGGGGACTGATCCCCCACGAATCGGCGTGGCTCCCAGGGAACGAGACTGAGCCGCAGCTGCAGGAGGGTGAGTGCGTTCTCCTTGTCACCCATGTCGACCGCGGGTTTTCTTTGCCCCCCACCC